CCCCCCCCCCCCCCCCCCCCCCCCCCCCCCCCCCGCCCCCCATTTCCCTGCCCTGGCAGAGTAGGCAGGGAGGGCTTCAGGTCCATAGTGGGGGAAGTTCCCCTCTACAGGTCCATGTGCTGGGCAACAGTACCCTCTGCTGGCCTCTTCTGATAACACACATTAAGTGTGATCCCAACCTATCCTGTCTGGCAAATAGGGACCTCACTGGCTTTCCTCCATATCACCAGATCTTGCGGGAATGCAAATAAGGAAGTTCTTCCTCTGCTTTCAGCCACAGTCTCTGGATTATTGCACCAGCTTCCTCACAGATCTCTTATCTCCAGTCCCTTACTCTGATCCCCTAAAGGAGCTCAAGCTACTTAATAAAGATTATGAGGCCCTGTGGCCTAGCACCTGGTCACCTCAGTGGCTTGACCCTTTTCTGCTCCCCCTTTGAACTTCAGACCAGTGGTTCTTTAGTTCTGAAGAGTCACAAATCCTTTTTGGAACCTATAAATGCCATGAACCTCTGCCGTGGGAAAATAAATACACATGTACATGGAATTTTGCGTAAAGATTAATGAGATTCTCAAATCCTCCACAGCCCAAACATGGCCTTTAAGTTAGGACTTCTTTCTTATTCCCTGACTATACTGAAGTGCTTGCAGTAATCAAGACTATCGATGCATGCCTACATCCTCCTGCCTGAGACCTTTCCCTACTTCCCTTACTCTTACCCTAGCTCCTGCTCATCCTTCAGGTCTCAGCGCAGACATCACTTTCTCCCAGAAGTCTTCCTTGACCCTCCATCCTGGAGTGAGCAGCTCCCCCAGTCCTTTGGGTCAGTCAGAGCCCTGGCCACTCAGGGTGGTTACTGGTGGCATGTGTGTCTATTCTGTTGGTAACAGACACTTGAAAGTCCCAACGCATCCCATAGGGCAAATCTGGATCAGATCTGTCTTCCTCCATGTCTGCAGATTTCCTCCAAGTCTGATCTCACCACCCACCTCATGCCAGCCAAGGACTGGGTATAATGCCAAGAGTCAAGGCTTAAGTAAACATTCTTTGAAGTGGTGAATAGAGGAGATAAACTGGGTTCTAAACCAGAGCATCAAGCCTCACTCAGTATGAGACTTCCAGACTCTGAAGGGTGGTCATTCGACCTTTATCCCCAAATTAAGCACCCTGGGAGCAGGAGTCATAGCAGTGAACGAATGAACAATGGTTCGAGTCCCTCCTGATTTTCTAATTTCAAACAGAAAATGCCGAAAGGCCTCTTTCACTCTGGCGCCCTTTCCCTTCCTGGTTGCGGAGGGCGGAACCCGAGGGAGAAACGCATGCGCATAAATGGTCCGCCTTTGGCCCGGAACTTTAGTGCCTGGGCGCATTGGAGTACCCGGCCCAAGTAGCGTGCTCAGCCGGAAGTGGCTGTTGAGTGCCTGGGGCCGAGATTCGCGTTCCCACCCTGCTGCAGCGGTCGACAAGTTGGAGAGAATCAGGATGGAGGCCGTGGCGACCGCGCCGGCGGCGAGGGAACCTGATGAGGGTGAGGTCCTGGCCACGCGGAGGTGACTGGAGAAGGAGGCTGCGGTGTCACTAGCAAATGATTCCCCAGGAACGCGAAGGAGGTCTTTTTATAGGGGGACCGCTGCCCTCATCTTTACCTGTCCTCCGCACTGCTTTGTCCAGATTAACCCTCTGTTGTCACCAGGAGATCTTATGACCTCCTTTTTCTCCATTTCCTCCCCCAAAATTAACGTCTTCCCAGTTCCAGGCTAACCCATTTCTTTACCAGCCTAATTCTCAGGTTATGAGCCTCTCTCCTGCCCCAGGCTAACTCCCAGTTTCAGACCAACCCTTTTTCTCAAATTACCTCCTCCCCTATGCCAAACAGAACTTTCCCTTTACCCAGGTTAACCTTAGTCTTATCCCATGCATACTCTTCTTAACTCAGACTAACGGCTCCTCCATTTCATTCTAAGTCCTTCTCCCAGAGTCAGCAATTCATTCTGCTTCCTCAAAGTCCTTACTCCATTTCTGGTGCTCCCTTTCTCTCTCCCTTGCATCTTCAATCTCTTATTTCTCCTGATGCGTTCCCATCAGTACATAAAATGCTTTTGTTTTACTCATCTTGAAATCCCATCCCATTGCTTCAAAGTAACTTGATGTGGAGTGACATGTGGTTGAGAAGTTGGCTAAAATACTACTGGCCAAGAATTGATAATTGTTGGAGCTAGGTGATGGATATATGGAGGTGGGGGGACGGGCGTCATTGTACTTTCTACTTTTGCATATGTTTGAAATTTTTCACAGTAAGAAATATTGGGCGGTGGGGGTTGGCCAGTTACCTCAGTTGGTTAGAGCATAGTGCTGATAACACGAGGGTCCAGAGTTTGATTCCCTGTACCAGCCATCCGCCAAAAAAAAAAAAAAAATTTTTTTTTTTTTTTTTGTGGCTGGACGGAAAAAGAGTCATATACACTTGTCTCCATTTCCTAACACCCTACCTGCTGCAGTCTGACTTTTACCCTCAGAAACTGCTCTGATTAGGGCCCCCAATGACTTCCCCGCAAGGTAGTTAAACCCAGTTACCTACCCCATTCAGGTTTTTTCTTACTAAACTATTTGGAGAATTCCATATCGTTGACACCTCCATCCTTCTTGTATGTTTTCCCTTGGTTTCTGTGATACCACTCTTGCCAGTTTTCTTACTCTCTTTTGGGCTGCTCCTTCTCAGTCTCAGTATTAGTTTCCTAGGGCTGCTATAACAAATTACCCCAAACTGTGTGGCTTAAAACAACAAAAATTTATTTTCTCACTGTTCTGGAAGCCAGGAGTCTGAAATCAGTATCACTGGGCTGAAATCAAGGTGTCAGCAGGGTCGTGCTCCCTCACAGGCTCTAGGGGAGAACCCATTCCTTGCCTTCCAGCCACTGGCAGCATTTGGAATTCTTTGGCTTTTGACCGCATCAGTCCAATCTCTGCTACCGTCTTCACATTGCCTTGTGAGTGTCAAATCTTCCTTGGCCTCTCTTATAGGACACTTGTGATTGCATTTAGGACCTGCCTCGATAATCCAGGATAATCTCTCCATCTCCAGGTCCTTAATTTAATCACATCTGAGAAGACATTTTTTGGCCATCTAAGGTAGCAGCCACAGGTCGTGGGATTAAGACAAAGCTCTCTTTTGGGGGGCAAGTTTTTAGCTTTCACAGGCATGTCATCTCCCCATCCGTTCAGTGCTTTTTCCTGGTCTCTTCTCATCCCTCACTCATTCTCCCATGCCCTCTCTCACCCCCACCTCTCATTTCACTCAGCTTTAGTTCTCATCTTGGCTCTGAGACACACACACTCTGTCTCCAGCCCAGCACTTCTCTCCTGAGGAGTCTAGAGGCCCGAGTACCAGCAGTGTCCCCTAGCGGGGGGACAAACTGGCTTTAGTGTTTTCTCCAAACCTTGTCTATGTCCCTGTCTTGGACAGTTTGGCCATTCCATAGGCCGGAGTCCTGGACCTTATCCTGGATTCCTCACTTACCTCTCATCCCTTCAGCCCCGTGACTTGTCCACTTGGCCTCCTGAGCATCTTTCTAACTCCACCCCCTGTTCTCCCATCCCCTCCTCCACAGTCACTGCCCTTGTCTAGCTCAGTCCTTCTTGCCTCAGTTGATTGAAATCCTCCCTGAAACCCAGTATACCTGTAGCCATCGCCCCTCTCTCCTCCCCATCCCAGGCAAGCTACCTAAAGGAGTTGTCTCTGCTTTCTGTCTTCACTTATTTCCTGCTTGCTACAGGCTTGCTCCAGTTCCCACCACTCCTGAGAAAAAGCTCTCACCAAGGTTTTCCCAGAGCACAGCTTTCCTGTTATCTTTGCCTGTGTTATCTTTGATCTTGACTGTCTCCCGCATCAGACTGGGTGCTCACTTAGGGAAGGAGCTGGATTGGATTCTTCCCATGGATCCTCAGCTTTGCTTCGCTTAGGGCCTCTGGTAGATTCAGAGTTGCTGAAGAGTGGTTGGTTGAATGTGTTAATTCATAAGAGAGAGTGAATGAGTGAGTGAATAAACTAGTGAATATATTAATTATTTTGTGAACAAATGAAAAGAATTGAGTGAATCAGTAAGTCAGGCTTCAGGGCCTTTGCACTAGCTGTTCCCTCTGCCTGGAACTCTCTTACCCCTGAAACTTCACAGCTCAGTCCCTCACCACCTCAGGTCTCTATTCAAGAGTCACTTTTTTGGCAAAGAATTCTCTAACCCCTCCATTTTAAATTGCAGCCTCCTGGGCCGGCCTGTGGCTCACTCGGGAGAGTGTGGTGCTGATAACACCAAGGCCACAGGTTCGGATCCTATATAGGGATGGCTGGTTCGCTCACTGGCTGAGTGTGGTGCTGACAACACCAAGCCAAGGGTTAAGATCCCCTTACCGGTCATCTTTTAAAAATAAATAAATAAATAAATTGCAGCCTCCCCCCATTCCGTTCTCCTCCTCTCATTTTTGTGCATAGCTATGGGAAACACCTAACACACTATGTGTTTTTAGTAATTATGTTGTTAATTGTCTGTGTCTTCCACTAAAATGTCAACTTCCTGCTCACTGTGGTGTCTCTAGGCCTTGAAAAGTGCCCAGAATATAGTAAGTGCCCAATAAATGTGAATTAAGTGAATGAGTGAGCACCCAGTCCCTTCCTGCCCACTCTATTCCACTTCTCCTACCTCCATCCCTGAACTAACAAATCTCTCCTCACAGGCTGCATGGAGCCTGGACCTGGGCACTGGGGAGAGCTAAGCTGGACATCAGTCCCATCCAGACCCCAGCACAAGCTGGAAGCAGCTGAGGGAGCATCAGAGGCCCTGGACAAAGATGCCCCCAGGGCTGAGAACACACTGGTGAGTGCCATGCTGCATGCTGTGGCTGCCACCCACCTTCCTGTGTGCAGCCAGCAACAGGGTGAGCCCGACTTGACAGAACGGGAGAAGGTGGCCATCCTGGGCCAGCTATATCAGGAGAAGCCACTGGTGTTCCTGGAACGCTTCCGCACAGGCCTCCGAGAGGAACACCTAGCCTGTTTTAGCCACCTTCGTGGCGACCACCGTGCAGACTTCTACTGTGCTGAGGTGGCCCGGCAGGGCACTGCCCGGCCGCGCACCTTACGTACCCGCCTGCGTAACCGTCGCTACGCTGCCCTGCGAGAGCTCATCCAAGGTATGGGGAGCAGAAGGGCAAGGGTGGGTGCAGATGGGGAGAGAGGAGAGACTGAAACAGGGATGGGGTGTGTGGGGGAGATGGAGGCAGAGGGAATGAGAAACAAGGATAACAAGAGCAGGGGCTGGCCGGTTAGCTCAGTTGGTTAGAGCACAGCCTTGTAACACCAAGGTCAAGGGTTCAGATTCCCATACTGGCCGGCCAGCTGCACCCCCCCACACACAAAAACAACAACAACAAATAAAGCTTCTGTAGAAGCCAATTCCCATTAGGTGCAGAAGAAGCATTTGAAAAAAAGATACAAGAGCAGAAACACAGAGACGGAGATCCTGGTAGATAACTTTTGAAACAAAGAAATAGAAACAGACATGGGGAGAGACTGAGACAAATGTGAAGGGGGAGAGACAGACAGGGACCCAGGGGAAAAGAATGAGACAGACAGTGAGAAAATTAGAATTTAATAAATAACAGAAGTGGCATTTCAGATCAGTGGGCTATGGACACAGTACATAGTATTCTGATAAGTGGTTGTGCCTAAGGAACACAAGCTCCCTACCTCACACCATACACAAAGGCAGCAAAGAAAACCAAAGGGAATGTGTCAGTGACCTTGGGGACACATAGGCCTTCTTGAACAAAACGTGAAAACAATGAAGGAAAAAACATGATACCTATTTGTCACAACAATTAAAAGCATCTTTGTGACCAGTGACACCAGAACCGAAGGTAAAAGATGAAAGCAAATGAAGCACCAAGTGAGTTAAATTCTAGTTAGGGATAAGTCATAAGCCATAGAGAGATTGATGCAGAAAGAGTGAGACACAAGGACAGATGAGGGAACAAGGATGAAGAAAGGAGAGGGATGAATGAATGAATGAATGAGGTGAGATTAGAAGACAGAAACTGAGAAAGCAGGAAGGACAGAGAGATGGGCAGAGAGGTGAGGATAAAGGAGGAGAGGTGACAATCCAAGCCAGGCAGAAGGAGGGATAGGAACAGAATCTGGTAGAGGGTGCCAGAAGCATAGAGAGGAGGTTGAGAGAGAGGGCAGGACTACGGAAACCGAGCAAGACAGGGATGGTCACAGACCACACTGCTGCAGAGGCCAGGATTCTGGGTGGGTTTTCGGCCCTGGGCTCTCAAGTCAGAGCTAGGACCAGTGGGTGGGAGGTGCCAGGGGCAGGTTTAGCCATTATGTGAGGGGCAGAGCCACTCCTGGAACACGCAGCCAGGGGAAATGTGAAGGACCTGTGTTTCCAGGCTGGGGAAGCTAGGCCCACCCGAGGGGGTGGCCGTAGAGAGAAGCACTCTGGGGAGAGGTCAGATCTGGGGCCTGCTGCTACCAGGAAGACCTGGCTCCCACTGGGGACACCCACACAGGCAGATGCCCTACTTGACCTGATCCTGTGCACACACATCCCAGATCCACATGGATGTGCACACATACATGCTCAATAGTGTAGGCATGTCCACTGACAGCCAGACTGGAGCTCAGCAAACAGGCACACACAACCTATAGACAAACAACCTGCATGTCCTGCATGGCAATTCCCAGACACAGATACCTGCCAGCAGTGTGCGGAGATGCACGGGAGGACATGCATGTACATGTGATCCTGCACACACACCCACGGGCAGGAGCTTGTGAATCCTGCCCAGGCACAGTTGCACATGAGCTCCAGACCAGCAGTGCCTCAGAGACCAGGGTGTACCTGGGCCTGCCCGTGTACACACATGCTTGGATACACGAATACACTGGTAGACACAGGACAAGTCATGTGCATATACTCAGCTGCACACATGAGTGCTTGTACCCATACAACCTCGGGCTTCTGTGCATATTTTCCCATGTATTTGAATATGTACACACACACACTTGGATTTGAGTGTACAAGTCTTCCTACAAGCATGATCACACATGTACACACAGACATATGTCTGCTTGGACACGCTCACCCCATGGCCACCCTGTCTCCTCTGTGCAGAGGGCGAGTACTTCAGCGATGAGCAGATGCGGTTCCGGGCTCCACTGCTGTACGAGCAGTATATTGGACAGTACCTGACCCAGGAGGAGCTCAGTGCCCGTACCCCAACCCACCAGCCCCCCAAGTCTGGCTCCCCTGGCTCACCTGCCTGCCCCCTCTCCGACCTGCTGCTCCAGTCCTACCAGGAGCGGGAGCTGCAGCAGCGGCTGCTCCAGCAGCAGGAGGAAGAGGAGGCCTGCTTGGAAGAAGAGGAGGAGGAGGAGGACAGTGATGAGGAAGGTGAGGGCCTGTAGCAGGGAGACGCAACATTGCATATACCCTGTCTCTCCATTTCATGGCATCAGGCTGAGCCCCCAACCCAGAAAAGCAGACATCATGTCTCCTTCCTGCCAGGTCTTACCCTCCACCCTGGGTGCCCTTCCCATCCTCTCCATTATCCCTGTCCCCCACTCCTCAAAGTCACCAAGTGATCCCTTACCTCCAGGCCTTTGCCCATGCCATTCCCTCTACCAGGAATGCCTTCCTCCCACACCTCAGTTCTCAGGTCCTGACCCTGTTGCACAGTCTCCAGAGCACTGTACTGTCATCATGTGTTTGATGTGTGTCTCTGGAGGGCACAGATCAGGGCTGTCTTGGTCACTGCTGTGTTCCCAGTGCCACCCAGCACTGGGCCAGGCATAGAAGACACAGTTCTCTGTGAACGTGTGTTCCGTGCCTGCCTGAGCGCACCTCTCACACACACCCCTGTGGGTGTCTCCCTCTATAGACCAGAGGTCAGGCAGAGACTTGGAGGCCTGGGTCCCTGACTCAGAGGAGAGGCTAATCCTGCGGGAAGAGTTCACAAGCCGGATGCACCAGCGCTTCCTGGATGGCAAGGACGGGGACTTTGACTACAGGTGCTCCTATGCCCGCACTTCCCCATCCCCCAGCCCAGCACCCTGTGGCCCTCAGCCACATGCCAGATCCCATGCACATCTGCAGAGGGCCTCCCTTACTGGTGCTAGAAGCCCTGGAACAGTTCCAGGACATGGGCCCTGTGGTAAGACAGCTTGGGGTTTTAGACCAACCAAAGGAGGAGGCTGGATGACCCTGGATTAGCCTGTGCTGTCTTAGAGTCTCCATCCTCTCATGTGTATGGAGAGGAGTAAGCAGGGATGACATGTAGCTCAATATTGATAAAACACTGAAACATTTTCATTCCACAAGTGGCAGTGGCCTGGAAAAATGCCATTACCCCAAGCCCCAATGTGTCCCCAGGAAGCCCAGCCTCTTCCCCAGAATCTCAGACTTTCTCATGCTGCAGGAAGTAGCCCCTGCAGGGTTAATGCCCAGCATGGAGGGGCTGTGATAGGTGCCCTTGCAGTGCTGGTTGTTCATTTCTCTAGTAAAATCTGGGGGTGAGACGCATGGGCCACTTGCTTTGGAGAAGGATTTTGCCATTAGGGAAAAGGACACAGGAGAGTGACATATCAGAGTCAAGATAAATGGTTTTGTTATCTGAGGCAGTCTTGCCTTGTGGTCCAAAACACCAGGCCTGGCAGCAGAGGGCCCTCTCTGGTGTCAAATCCAGCCCCAATGACACATGAACTGTGACCTCGAACAGGTGGACCCTTGGTGGGCTCATCAATAAAATGGAGATCATGAGCACCACTCCCACAGGCCCAGCCCACGGTCAGCACCTGGTGAGGGGAACATTGCTGGCCTGTTCTGGGATCCCCCAGCTCTTGAATCAAATCTGGCCAGTTCACTTCCATCTGGGGTGGAGTCTCTCAGAGCCTCAGTTGAGTAGACATGCCTGGGTCACGGGGAGCCTCAGTGAGTGGGCACCACTGCTGCTCCTAAACCCAGGTGCCCACAAGGAAGTCAAGAGTGGTGGGGACCAAAGCCTGTCCCCTCGGGTGGGTGGCTGTTGGGCAGCAGTGGCCCACACGGGTCCCTCATCTGTGCATTCATTCAGTCAGCACATGCTGAGCATCTGCTATGTCCAGGCTCTGGGGATAAAGCAGGGAACAAAAACAGCGAAAGGTTTCCCTGCCTGGAAAGGGGCCCCACTCTAGTGAAGAAGATAAAGAATTATCTAGTATCTAGTGATGATGGGACCATGAATAAAAATAAAGCAGCAGGAGGGGAGTGACAGGGTGGTCAGGGAAGGCCTCTCTGAGGGCTTGGGCAATTGGTAAGGGGCAAGGGGTAGGAGGTCTTACCAGAAGTAGCAGCCAGATGGAGTGGGGCCTGGTGAGTGCAATGGGTGGAAGCGGGTTTAGAGCTGAGCTGTTTAATTTAGGATTATAGACAGTCCCTAATTTACACCTTTACAATGGTGTAAAAGTGATATACATTCATGGAGTTAAGTCTAGATAACCCATTGTAAATTTAAAATATTGTAGGTTGAAAACACATTTTCAACTTAACCGTATTTTCTGCTTACATTGGGTATATCCAAACATGTAACTCCATCTTAAGTCGAGGAGCACCTGTACTTATTAATAGCCTCAGGGCAGAGTTTCTCAACATGGGCACTATTGACCTCTGGGCTGGGTAGTTCTTTGGTGTGGGGGTCTGTCCTGTGTGTGGCAGGGTGTTTAGCAGCATCCCTGGCCTCTTACTAGACACCAGTAATAAGCCCCCAGTCATGATAATCAAAATGTCAGAATGCTCTGGGGGCAAAATGGTCCTGTTGAGAGCCACTGTCTGCTTTAGGAATGTGGACCCATGTGTCACATCTTCCAGCTTTTTTAGAGAAACCAGACACTTTTTATGTAAAACTGCTGATTTGGAAGATGTTTCCTTTAGTTTTAAGGCCTGAGAGGCCCAACATCCCCCTCTGAGGGTCAGCTCTGACTTACAGCTACCAGCATATGGCTTTTGACCTCAAGGAGGGCCACTAGGCCCTTGACCTGGGCCTCCTAGGGTCCCGGGAAGACCCAGCTTCTGACAGCCTTCTCCCTCTGCAGCACAGTGGACAATAACCCTGACTTTGACAACTTGGACATTGTGGCACGGGATGAGGAAGAGAGGTACTTCGATGAGGAGGAGCCTGAGGACGCACCCAGCCCAGAGCTGGATGGGAACTGATGGCCACCCAACAGTGCACTCGGCCAGCCACCCTGCTCCCAGCCCCAACAAGGCAGCTGATTACAGGCTGGCTCAGTGACTCTTTCTCTAGGGTGGCACCTCCCCCCACACACCACCAGCCTCCCTGGGTCTGGTCTCATCTCAGACAACACCCCCACTGTTTCTGAGGTTCCCTGCCCTTCTCCCTTTTTCCCTCTCTCCCCTCTGTGCCCTGCCTCTATCTTTTTCTTGTTGTCTCTAGGTTTCTTTCACTGTCTTCAACTCTCTTAGTCTCTTTCTGTCTTTCTGGATCTCTCCCTTTCCAGGTCTCTGGCTTCTGTCTCCCCCTTTCTCCCTCTCTGTCTGTGCCTGGGGCTCTGTCCCAGCAGCAGGGCCCAGAATAAATGTCCTCCCCTAACCAAGGCCAGCCAGTGGGTCCGTTTGTGGCTGTAGCTGGTCGGGTTTATTCTAGTGTCCAATTCAAGGTCAGGCCAACACCTGGGCCCCAGTGCAGCCTCTCGCTCCGTCAGTCTCCACCTCTTGTCTTCTCTACCTCTGTTTATGTCTTGTTGCTTTCTTGCACTCAGTACCTCCTTGCTTGTTAGGTTTTCGTCTCTCCTTCATCCTCACTCTGGACCTGTGGTTCTTTCTGTCTTTACATTTTTCCCTTTCTCTCTTGGTCTCCGTGTTGTCTCCCTCTCCATCTTCAGTTTTTATCTCTTTGGGTTTCCGTCTCCCTTCTCCCCTGGCTGCTGTGGGCAGCAGAACCCTGACTGCTGAGTAATGCAGCCTCACTGTAGGCAGGGGGACGACCCCAGGGGTGACCACCAGCCCCCGCCTCTCCGTCAGGACCCAGGCTGGTGAGAGATGGGCAGAGGCAGAACTGGGGATCGTGGGGCCTGCAGCATGGGTGTGGAGGGAAGGGGTGGGGGAAGGGGGGACTCCCCTCCCAGTCCCACCAGCCCCCCCCTGCCTGGCCACAATTTTCCCTTCCTTCACTTCCTCTGTCTCCCTCTCCCTCTCCTGTTTACACTCCCCAAATACGCACAGGCTGTTATCATGGGTCCTGAGTCATCCCACACACACAGCATGCTCCAGTGTTCCTGCCCCCAGTCCGCCACAGAGCCCGCCCAACGGAGCCCCCTGCCGCCCTGGGCTAATGGGAGCCAGATGGCCGCCTGGTGACTCAGCCACGGCCTGTGGGAACCCAGGCGTCCCGCCTTCCCATGCCCCCACACCCAGCTCGTGCTCCCCCAACAGACAAAGAGAAGGGACTGGCTTCTTGGGGGGTGGGGAGTGGCACAGGCCAAGGGTCAGCAAGGTGGGACCTGGGGACCCCTCACTACTATGAGATGGAATGGTGGCATCCTGCCCTGGCCAAGCCTGAAGGACCCTCAAAACTGCCTCCTAGAGCCACAGTTCCTGACCCCCAGGCCTGAGTTCTGTCCTCTGGCTCAATCAGAATTAGAGCCAGATGAGGAAAGTGAGAGCTAGACAGAAACAGAGGGATGTTCAGATGGTGTGACTATTACATAAAGAAAGCTCCCGCTACTGAGCAATTCTATCCTATGCCAGGCCCCAGCAAGGTGCCTGACACTGCATTGAATCCTCCAAACAGTCTTGTAAACTAGGGACTCTTAGCTCCATTTCACAGATGGGTCAAACGAGCCTGGAAAAGAGATGTTGCTTCCTGAGGGCCACTCGGCCATCAGAGGCAGAAATGAGAAGGGAATCCAGGCCCAGATCCCCGAAGGTCCTGGAAACCACTCTAGTTGCCTGCCTGTCAGATATCGGGGCCACCCAGGGATGAACAGAGTTGGAGGCACAAGTGCACACACTTCTAAGATGGGAAGATTTAAGAAGAGTTAGATGTTGAAGATGGCATCGAACTCTTCACAAAGGTGAATGCCTTGGGACCCTCCCCGTGTGCTAGGCACTGCCCTACACACAGGTGTTACTGAATCACCTTCATGTGCAAATCAGTCCTGGAATCACTGAATTGTCACAGCAGTCCTAAGCAGTAGGCACTATCAGTAATAGTATTCCATCTCCTGAAGAAACAGCAACGAGGCCCAAGGTAATCTAGCCAGCTAGACTCCAGCACCATTGGGGTCACACCACGTGGAAAGACAGGAGTGAGAGATGAGAGATGTTTGTCTCTTAGGTACTTGTGTTTGTGCCCTCAATTTATAAGAGCTCTTTCATAGTAGAGGTGTCAGCCCTTAGTGATATGCACATTTTTGGCTAGTCTATCATTTGATTATTAAATTTGTTCATAATATACTTTTCCATACACAAATCTGTTATAGGTATAGTTTTGTTTTGCTTTTTTTAAAAAGATGACGGTAAGGGGATCTTAACTCTTGACTTGGTGTTGTCACCACGCCCTCCCAAGTGAGCTAACCGGCCATCCCTATATAGGGATCCGAACCCTTGGCCTTGGTGTTATCAGCACCGCACTCTCCCAAGTGAGCCGTGGGCCAGCCCTGTTTAGGTATAATCTTAAAAAAGAGAGACGATTGGTTAGAGCACAGCCATATACCACCAAGGTCACAGGCACGAATCCCTGTACCAGTCAGCTGCAACAAAATAAAAGAGAGATGAGAGACATAGCAATTGAGTCAGAATTAGGGTTGGTCAGATGGTTAGGTCTGGCTGAGAGAGAGGTGGAGCCGGTCACAAGAACAGGGATTAGATGGGGAGACAGGAAGAAAGGTGGAGACAGATTGAGCAGGGATGGTGAGAGACATACCTCCTGGTCACAGCCTCACAGCAGCTGAGACCCAGAGGTGCTAAGCCCATGGGCACCTCCCTCCTCTCAATTCTGAGGTTGGGGTGGGTGGAGAGGCTGAGTCAGGGAGGGAGGGCCCAGCTGCGGGAGAGCCCCTTCGTGGGCATCCGGTCCCCACCCCCATGTCTCCTGTCCTGGTCCTGGCCCCACTCTGCTGGCTGCCACTCCCACCCCCCATGTTGGACACTGCTGTGCCTGCTGTCACAGCTAAGGCTGACTCCTCACACCTCCCCTTGCATCTCTGTGCTGCTCCCTCCAACTCTTCTCTCCATCTCGGTCTCTGTTGCGGTCTCTGCCTGCCCCGCACTATCTACTGCCCTTTCTCTCTGCTTCTCCTCATTTCCTTCTCGCTCCTCTGCCTTTCCCTCTTCCTTCTCTGTCTTCTTCCCATTCTGTCTCTGCACCTCTCTGGCTGTCAGTGTCTCCCCATTGCTTTTCATCTCCCTTCTCTGAGCCCCTCCTCACTTCTCATTTTCCCTGTGCCTCTGCCTCCTCCCCCACTTCTCTCCCCTGCCTTGTCGACCTCTCCATCTCAGTCTCTGAGCTGCTGTCACTGTCCCTGCAGCCCTGTTTCTCCATCCCTTTCTCTGCTGGAGCCTCCCTTCCTACTCTCATTTTTTCCTATCCCTCTCCCTGCTCTGCCTGTTGGTCCTTCCTCCCCGCCCCATTGCTGACTCTGTTTCCTAGACCCTGAGAAGCCCAGCTGGGACATCCAGCTCAGAGCTTCACCGGTGGCCCCTGGGAGCCCAAAATGAGGGGTCACTGCCTCACCCCCACCCAGAAAGAGGAGGGAGGCTGCGGGGCCTGTCTGGCCAGAAGGAAATGTCTGTGCAGTGGCCTGGTCACCCCCGCCCCCAGAACCTGCTGGGTTGCTGCCGCCCCCGCCCCCAGGCTGGGGCCAAGTAAACACAGCCGCCGGCTGCCTGGGATATTTATACTGAGGGCTGGGCACGGGTCCAGTGCCCACCACAGCCCCTGCCCTGCCCTGCTTGCTGCCACAGCCAGCCCTGAGCCAGCGTGGCACCAGCCAGCAAGGGGACACACCACAGACGAAGACTCTACTCTGCTCGGAGGCCAATGGTCACTTGTCACTCAGGATGCCGTTTGCTTCATTCGACACACAATTTCCCCCTCCCCTGAAAATACCAGCACACGGTGCAGACCCACAATAGCTGCTGGTAATGAACACATACACACCCCTGCTGAGAACTCAAAGGTGGTACAAAATAGAGACCCACACAATTCCTCATGCACTGAACTCACCAGCCCACATGTGGGGACACAAAATGCAGACATCACCTGCTCAAAGACACCAACAAAGGTTGAGTATACCAGTCCCTGAGATGGACACACACACACACTGAACCACAGCAAGCATGTTGGAAACCGTGTAGACACACACCATCTGTGAGACATGCTCAGAATAGCACAGATGCACACACTGATCACAAAATGTAACCAGAAACAACTCGCCCACAGACACACAAACACTGGCAACTACCACACACATGTGCTGAAAATACAGCTCACGTGTAAGAAACAAAATACATGCGCGCACACACACACACACACCCTCTCGGAAAAACATCTTTCTCACCCATAAACATACACAGAAAATACCCATATTTCAAGTTGAACTTATATTGAGAATGCACAAATTTACACCTACAGCAAAACTGTGAAGATGTTGAGAAAAATTCAGACACAAGACATCCCAGATAAACGCCCCATTCATGTGTGCACACAGACTAGCCTAGTCAAACAGTACCAGGATATGGAACCCACAGAAAGCACACCAGCTGATCAAGCAGAAACACAAAATGCAGAGACACGTACCAGAAATGCAGCACAGCTACATACACATGGAGTTGAACATGTGCTGGGGACATACACAGATACTGACAATACTAGCCGTACCAGACTCACCAAACAGGCACCCAAGCCAGTGTTAAGAGATAGAACACTCATGCGAGAAACAACTCACACCACAAAACCTACAGACTCTCTCACACACACAAAGAAGTCCTGAACACAAGTGAATTCACGTTAGAAACACACAGAACACTAGATGTCCAGAGGTTCAGAAGGAAGGGGACTTTTTTGCACTCCCTTCTATCTCCCTTTCCACCGCCCCCCCTTTCCAAACTGACCCTGGTCCCAGGCCCTTCTGGGAGAGGGGGCAGGAAGGCCTGAGCTGGCCTCCTCCGGCCAGCTTCCTGCCCTGTGGGGGCCAGACGGGAAGCTGGGGCTCCAGCCAGAACCCAGGCTTCCCCCACGACTTCCCTGTGCAGCCAGGGCTGCCTGCAGAGGAGGGGAGCAGGGCTCCTGAACCCCCTGCCCTGCGGTCAGCTGTGGGTGGGGACAGACTTGTCCTGACAGGGCCAGGGTGCCAGGGTGGCAGGGCCAGGGCAGCGCGCACGTGGCCCAGGGAAGATGCTGAGCCCACACTTTCCCTTCCCCGCCCTTGGGCCCTCGGCCGCAGCCAAGCCAGCTCGCCAGGCAGCCCGGGGCAAGTGGGTGGGGGGGGGGAGTCATGAGCGCAGCCAGGACTTGTCCTCAGGCAGAGGCACGAGCTGGGCGTGTGAGGGCGAGTCTGTGACCCTGGGGGTGTGTCTGGGTGTGGGGGAGCTGCTCTGTCTGGGACCCGGGGTGTGACAGTGTGTCTGGGTGTGAAGGGGTCACTGCAGTTGTGAGGCCATGTGGGACTTCGCAGGCTGGAGTGTGTGTGGAGGTGTGTGAGATGTCAGACTGAGTGGGTAGGACTGACTGGCAGTCTGTGTGATTGTGACGTGTCACACACCTCTGTGTGTGGTATGTCTGGGTGAGACTGTGATGAGTCGAACTGTGTGCGTGAGCACTGTGCCTGTTTGTGACCCATGTAGGATGTTTGTGTGAGTGTTGGTGGGTCTGTTCCTCATGGGGCTCTGATGCTATGAAGGTGTGTGTTTATGCATGACACTGTCAGTTTGATTCTGTGTCTGTTTTGTGGTGGTTGTGACCAGGATCCTATGGAATATATTTGTGTGGCTGTGTTTTGCCCTGTCCCTATTGAAGTCTCTGCTTGTCTCATGCTCCAGTGAAGCTCCAGGCTGTGCTGGGTTTAAATGAGGGGGTGACACTTTCTCTATTTCTATTTGAGTATGGATGGGCTGTGACTGCTGCCAGGTGACACAGTCCATGTGTCATGGGTCCTGCTGCAGTCTCTGTGTGTCCTTTGCAGCTCTGAGAGGGGAATGTGTTTGTGTGGCTGTGGGACACTGTCCATATTTGAACTTTGCTATGAGTATGTATGTGTGTGTACATGTGCCCCATCCTCATGGGGCTGCAGTGACTATAGTCCATGTCACTGTGTCCTTGCTTGTGTCTCTGCCTCTTGGAGCCAGGCCTCAGCAGTGTCTCTACACACGTCAGCATGTCCTTGCATAATGCACTCCTCCTGTCTCCCCACCCCCACCCTACCCCTGGCCCTCTGTGGCTCCCAGACCTGGGGCAGGAGGAATAACCACACTTCTACCCTAGGGCTGTGAGGGCCCCAGGACTCAGCACTCAGACTCAGTGCTGCCAACAGCTCTCATGCCCACAGCACTCACACCATCTTCCCTCCCAGGACAACCACTGGGAAGAGAAGTCCAGGGGCCCCTAGGCCTGAGGATGGAAGAGAAGAGAGAAAGGAAACAGACAGGAGAAAGAATAAGCAGGAGAGAATTCACAAGCAAACCATAGGGGAAGGGAGGAAACAGAGACAGCAGAGGGAAACCCATCTTGGCTCAGGCCACTGTCATTTCTTGCCTGGACAACTGGCCTTCCTGTAGTCACGCCTCATCCCCATTCGGGCTACTCTCAACCATCAGCCAGAGGGTGGACTCTGGGCACCTAGGTTGAATTTTGTCCCTCCTCTGGTCAGAACCCTGCCATGGCTCCCATCCTCTCAGAGTACTCCAACCTGACGTGATCTGGGAAGCAGTACTAGTGTAGGGTTACATAAATGGGCCCTCAACTCAAGCCGCCACTTACTAGCTAGCTGTGTGAACTTAACAAGTAACTTAACCTCTCTGTGCCTCAGCATTCCCATCTGTAAAGTGGAGATCAAATGCTCTCTATAGCAGGCATCAGCAAACTTTTTCTAAAGGACCAGATAGTAAATATCCTTGTGCATACAGTCTCTCTTCACTTCTGCACTGTAGGACTAAAACAGCCACAGACAACATGTAAACGGATGAGCGTGGCTGTGTTCCAATAAAACTTTATTTACAAGAATTGGCCCAAGGGTGGTAGTTTGCCAACCCTTGCTCTAATAGGTTGTGGAGGGAAGGCAGTGAGCTAGTAGAAACGACACACCGGGCATGGAGGATTGCTATTACTCTCCAGCCTGTGAGTGTCATGGTCTGACTCAGCTGCCCACACCCTGCCCTTGCTCATTCTCTTCCCACCACGCTGATCTCTTTCCTCCCTGTGTAGCACACCCCAAGATCACTGTCACTTCCGGACTTTTGCTTTTGTCTTTCTTCGACCATGAATGCTCCCCCACGATCCTCCCCCAGGCTCCCTTCTAGGCTCAAATGCCACCTCCTCCCCAAAGCCATCTCTCTCATGAGATCCTGCTTTATTGTCTACATGTCACTTATCACTAAACCACTATTTTTCATTATCTGTCTCCCACCCCAGAAAGTAGGTTTCTGGTAGAAAGGAACTACTCCCTGTACCTCTCTGGGCTGTAGTGTCTTCACTTTTAAAATGGGTGTTATCAGAGTCCCTATATCCCAGAGTGTTGTTATGGGCATTAAATGAGTTCATTAATATAAGCCACTTAAAACAGTGCCCAAGGTGCTCTGTAGATCTACCTTGTGTTCGCCACTGGTCCCTCCACCTACAGAGGTACTTGGAACATAACAAGTGTTCAGTGTTTCTGTGATGCGGGCAAATGAACGATGGAGAGACAGGAGGCTGCACAGGGAGAGAGATGGAGCAGGAGGCGGGGCAGGGGAGACCATCGGGGAGGCAGACCCCTGTCAGGCGCCCAATGACACAGACACCCCCCACTCCTTTTTCCATCTTTAATGGGTCCCCAGGTGAGCTTGGGGCGCGGGTGTCCTTAAATACAAGGCGGGGGACGGGGAGGGGCCGGGCCTGCCGGGCGCGGCGGGGTCTCAGCTGCACTTGCAGGAGCGCACGATCATGTTGGACAGCTGCTCCACCTTGGGCTTGCGACCCACGTAGTACACGATGGGCAGCGGCTCCAGTGCCTGCGGCACGCAGCACGGCGCCGCCGACGCGCCTGGGTTGTGCTGGTTGTACAGGCCCAGGACCTGCAGGCGGCGAGGCGACCAGGTGGGGTCAAGGTTTACGGAGGGGGTTGGTGGCCGCATCCTACCCCCGACGCCCCCCACCCCCACCCCCTCCTTGACTGTCTCTCACACCTCCCTCTGTCTCCCCTCATCTCTCTGTCTCTCTCCATCCCCCACTATCTCTCTCCATTTTCGACTCTTGGCTTGTGTATCTCAGTCTTTCTGTCCCTCTCCTTCCGTCTTCCTCTGTCTCTTTGTATCATTCTATGTCTTTCTGCCTCTCATTCTGTGTCTCTCCCCCACCCCCACCCCCCATTTCCTCAGCTCTGTGGGCCTTTCCATATCTCTATGTCCCTCTGTCCCCTACCCTCTAACTCTGCTCAGACCCTGTGTCTGGCTTCCTGCTTCTCTTCCCATCTCTTTATCCATCCCTCCCCCATATTTCTCTCTCTCTCTCTATCCCGCCAACTCATCTCTCTTACTTTTATTTTTCTCTTCTCTTCCTCAGTTCTTGCTCCCCCCATCCCGCCCCCCATCCCCTGTGGGCTAGACACACCTTGCTATACTGCGTGTCCAGGCTCCAAATGTAAGGGCAGGGCCCCAGGCAGAAGTTGGCATGGTAGCCCTTGGGCTCATGGATCCACTTCCAGCCGAGGTCCTTGCGGAAGTCTATGTACAGCTGCCGCACGCAGCAGTTCTTCTCCGTAGAGCTTCAGGCAGGAGGAACACGGGGTCAGGAGCAGGGAGGAGCTGCCACCCCAAGGGCAGGCCATGCCCTTCCTCCCCCCGTGTCTGTGTGAGTGTGTGTGTGTCACTCTAGGCTTTTCCCCAGCCCCATCTCCAAGTCTTCCTTGTACCCCCGTGATAATAACAATAATAACAGTAATGTAATGATTATTGATAACACTAAGCACTTCCTTTAGTTAACCACTGTGCTAGGAACATTGTAATAAACGTTATCTCATGCAATGCTCGTCAAGCCTGTAAGAAGCCAAACAACCATCCACTTGGGAAGGCTAAATAAATCATAGCACAGCCACACAATGGAACGTAAAAAATAATGCAGCTCCAAGTGTATTGATATGTTCTATTTGTGCAACAAATGTTTATGGAACTACTCCTGTGTGCTAGGCTGGCATCTACTGGGGACAGAGTACAAACAAAACAGAAATCCCTGCCCTCCAGGGCCCCATGCATAGATTGTTTTTTTGTTGTTGTTTTTGTTTTTTAAAAGATGACTGGTAAGGGGATCTTAATCCTTGACTTGGTGTTGTCAGTACCACGCTCACCCAGTGAGCTAACCGGCCATCCCTATATGGGATCCGAACCCGTGGTCTTAGTGTTATTGGCACCGCACTCTCCCGAGTGAGCCACAGGCCGGCCCACCCCATGCATAGATTGTGATGTCATGTCTCCTCTGCTCTGACCATGACTCTGTCTCGCTCAGGTCCTCACCATGAGCCACAAGGTGCTACCAAATCTGGCTGATCTCAACTCTTCACCCTTATTCCACTCCAGCCACGCTGGTGTCTTGTTCTCAAACACAGTCCTACCACAGGGCCTTTGCGCTTGCTGTTCCCTCTGCCTGGCTTGCTATTCCTACAGATACCCATTCTGGCTTGTTCCTTCTTCATTTAAACCTTGGCTCAAACATTCTTCACTCGGGGAGCCTTAATTCCTAGCACAGTGCCCAGCATGCAGTATGTGCTTAAAATGAACATCACCTCCTCAGAGAGACCTTCCTGGTCCATCCTATCCAAAATATCAATCCAGGTGACTGTTAATTCCATTCTATATAATTCGGCATTGCAGTTATGCAACAAAATATGAAAATGTGTGTATTTGAAGTAGGGCAAAATCTCAGTAACTGTTGAAGCTGGATACGAGTTCATGGGCGTTCATTACGTTATTTTGGTTGCTTTTGTATACATTTGAAATTTTCCATCATAAAACAATTTTAATCAGAATAGGAAAAAAATGGTTGCCAATATCTACTTCTTTTTGTTCTCTTCCTCTGATTTATTTCCTTCTTAGAAATTATTGCCACCTGTTATTTTATTAGATTGATTGTCTTCCTCTGAGTACAGGAATTTTTGTCTGCTTTGTCCCCTAATGTATCCCCAGTGCCTGGCAAACAGTAGGCACTCAGCAAATGTTGGATGTATAAATCAATTAATATATTATGTTTTAAAAAAGCAAGTTGGAGAATAGTGGCGTCTAAGACCCTACTATTCTGGACTCATGATCTCTGTCCCACGCTCAGCTCCAAAGGCCAGTCCTCCCCAGCCCAGAGCCCAGGCTTCTGCTTGTCTGAAAGGAACTGGGGTGTTTTCACGTGGTAGCCCCTCGGGCCATGGCTGAGATGGGCAGGGAGCTTGGCTAAAAATGTTGACTCATGGGAAGCCAAGAGCACTTTATATTCCATGTTCATGACATGTGAAAGAAACACTATAAAAAGGCACAGGTACAGTATGATCCAAATTCTGCTATATATAAAAGTACTGGCAGGAAATATATTAAAATATTGACTGTGACTTTTTATGTGCAGTGATAGGATGGGTGACATCTTTCTGTATTTTCCAAATTCTCAAAAGTGGGTATGTGTTACTTTTAGAATCAGAACAAAAAAATTAAAAGAAAGAAAATGCAGCCCCCCCCCCAAGACTACCAATGGACAAAATATAAAAAGAATATATTTATATGTATAAGTGTGTCAGGAAGGGACTACCTCTGAAAGGAGACACAAATAAGACAAAATTGAGGGGTTGGGGTCAGAGCTGGAGGGTCTAAGTATCCTCTCTAGCTAGGACTGGCTCATGTCCATGTATTTACCTATTCAAAAAATAATCAAAAGACTGCTGGCTGGTTAGCTCAGCTGGTCAGAGCGTGGTGTTATAACACCAAGGTCAAGGGTTCAGATCCCCATACTGGCCAGCTGCCAAAAAAAAAAAAGTAATCAAAAGAGAATGAATCAATTTCTTTCAAAACACTGGGAGGCAGGCCTTATTATTCTTCCCATTTGAAGAATGAAGCAGGGCCAGGTTCACAGCAGACTCTGTGAGACCCTGGAGTTTGTGGCCTCATCTGCCAAGTGTGGCCACTTCAGTTCAAATAGAAGAGGAAGAGGCGATGAGATGACACAGCATCTCTCAGGCAAAACGAGAACTTTCTAAGAACCGCAGAACCCTGAGAAAATTGAGATCCCTGTGAAGTCAGACAACTCAGTCTGTCCCTCCCCAATTTGGTTGGGCCTCAGTTTCCCCATCTGTTCAAAGAGGCGGGGTGGGGACTAGCTGGCCAGTTAGCTCACTTGGTTAGAGTGTGGAGCTGATAACACCAAGGTCCTGTAAAGGACAGCCACCAAAAAAAAAAAAAAAAAAGAAAGCAAAGAGGTGGGGGATGTTGGATCATATAAGGTTTGTTAAGGGCCAAGGAGGCATCAGGAAGTCCATGGACAGGCTTGGAAGGGTTGTGAACGCCATCCTAGGCACATATATGTTTATATGTGCACATATTTCTGGGGAAAAGATTCTTCGTTTTTGCCTTTTCAAAAGGGGAGGGGTCTTGGACTCACAAAAGGGGAAGAACCACTGTCTAGAATCATCTTGAATCTCTAGTCGTCCAACTCTGGATAGGGCTCTGAGGTCCTAAGATTTTAGCAGTCCGTGATCCCATCATCTAAGTCAGCGGTTCTCCATGTGGAGTCCCTGGCCCAGCAGCAGCAGCATCACCTGGGAACTTGTGGGAAATGCAAATCCTCGGGCCTCACCCTGACCCACTGAATCAGAAACTGTGTGGATGTGGGTGGGGAACAGCATTCCTCGTTGATCAAGCCCTCCAGGTGATCCTGATGCACTAACTCATTTGTTTAGGACATATCCAGAGCCTTCTGCATTCTGGGCCCAGTGATACGCACGGCCCTTGCCTTTGCAAATCTTCTTCCTTCCAGTCTATCAAGACCCAACAGGGCCTGATGAATGAAAGAAATCCACTTGGGGCCCCAGAAGAGGCCCAAAGGCCTCACAGCCACCTTGGATTTTGGAGAAAGGAGTCAGGGAGACTTCTCAGCGGAGGTGGTGCTTGAACTGACTTAAGAACAACTTTTTATTATGGAAAGTTTCAAACACACAAATGCAGGGAGTATTATATTATATTGAATCTTCATGTCCCCATCACCCAGCTTCAACAATGATCAAGTCATGGCCAATTTCATTGTATCTCTACCCTTATGAACTTCCTCTTTGACACTGGATTATTTTGATATGCCATCTACCATATCATTTCATCCATAAATATTTCAGTATGTATCTCTAAGAATGTTAAGACTATTTAAAATATAAACACAGGGCTGGCTGGTTAGCTCAGTTGGTTAGAGCATGGTGTTATAAAACACCGAGGTCAAGGGTTTGGATCCCCATACTGGCCAGCTGTCAAAAACACAAATAACAAAACCAAACAAAAAACATAAGCACAATTCCATGTGAAAAATTAACAATAATTCCTTGATATCATCAAATATCTAGTCAGAGTTCACATTTCCCCTACTGTTTTCTAAATGTCTTTAAAAAAAAAGTTTGTAGAAATGAAGATCCAAATAAGGTCTACACATTGTGATTGGGTGATGTGTCTCTTAGGATTCTTTTAAAAATCTACAGAACTTGGGCTGTCCAGTTAGCTCAGTTGGTTAGAGCGTGGTAAAAATCTACAGAACCATCTCTATATACATCTATACACGTGTGTGTGTGTGTGTGTGTGTGTGTGTTTTCCCTCTTCACACTGTATTTGTTGAAGAAACTGGGTCAGGTTTCCCACAATCTGGACTTTGCTGACTGTATCCCTGTAGTGTTGCTTAAGATGTTCTCCTGTCGCTGTATTTCTGGAAAATTGGTAGTTGGATCTACAGTCCTGAATAAATTCAGGTTTGATTTTTTTTGGCAAGACATCCTAGGCGATGTTGTGTCTCTCCCTACAGAGGCTTTTGTGACTGACTATCTCCCTCTGTAATGGCTGTTGGTGATTAAGACCTCAATCTGTTCATTCGCAGGGTTTCTGGGCTTAGGGTGGTAAAATCTGGTGGTGAAGGAGCCTCGGAGCAGGGCTGACTTTCCAGCAGGGAACAGCATGTAACAAAGCCCAGAGGCACCAGCAAAAAAATTTAAGGAGGGGAGGGACAAGGTCAGATTACCACTCTAAATTTGAAACATTCTAACTCTGAATTTCAACTTTCTAGGAATCTAACATTTTAACTTTCTTAGATTGCAATATTCCAGCATCTTAAGATTCTAACATTCTGGGCCGGCCTGTGGCTCACTCGGTAGAGTGCGGTGCTGATAACACCAAGGCCCCGGGTTCGGATCCCATATAGGGATGGCCGGTTCGCTCACTGCCTGAGCGTGGTGCTGACAACACCAAGTCAAGGGTTAAGATCCCCTAACCGGTCATCTTTTAAAAAAAAAAAAAAAAAAAAAAAAAGATTCTAACATTCTGACAGCATTTCCAACTTTCTAGGATTCACACTTTCCAACTCTTGAGGACCTTGGCATTCTTGCATCCAAGTATTTCAACACTACACTCCAACATTCCACAATTCTGAGCCCACCACTCAAGAGGTCCAACCCATCACTTTCTAAGATCCCAGCATTCCAAGATGCTAACATTCCAGCACTGAGTTCCAACATTCTAGGATACCAATATTCTGGCTTTCTCCTCTCCAACTCCAACATTTGTGGATGCTAATATTTCAACACAGGATTCTACCATTCTGAGCCCAACAATCAAGGACGCCAATCTGCCAACACTGGAGACAACAATCTGCCAATAGTGTAGAAATACAACAGAGGCAATCTGCCAATTCTGAATTCCCAAATTCTAGGATCCCAACATTTCAGCTTTCTTTGAGTCCAAGATTCTTTTTTTTGGCAGCTGGCCAGTTCAGGGATCCAAACCCTTGACCTTGGTGTTATAACACCATGCTCTAACCAAGTGAGCTAACCAGCCAGCCCCAAGTCCAACATTCTTGAATTCAATAATTAACACCAAATTCTAGCATTCTAGAATCCCAACATTCTAGAATCACAACCTGCCAACAATTTGGAAATCCCATATGGTGATTTTCCAACTTTGAATTCTAAAATTCTCAGTGTTCAATGTTCTAACATTCTCTGATTCCAACATTCCAGCAAGAAAGCAACCTGACCCCAACATTACAACTTGTCCCACATCCCAGCCTTCCAGGTCTTGGACCTCATCCCTGGAGACCTCCAGGCTAAAGGAGACACTCAGCCCAACCACAGCACCAGCCAGGTATCCAACCCATAGGGCCTGGTCAGCAGACAGCAGTCAAGCCCCAGCCTGGAAGGCCTCAGTTGAAATCTAAAAAGTTCACCTGAAGCAGTAGTTGGTGTCCAGGGCTCGGCGGCGCCGGGAACTGTGCAGATGCTGGGCCCTCTCCAGAGGGGTGGCCATGAGAAGCAGGAAGGGCCGGTTCATGCCGTGAATGGTGGCCAGGTCACCCCGGCGGCCATTACTGAACCCTGGTTTGGGAGTCGGGGGTGGAGGACATACAAACACTCTGGTGGGGAGGATGTCAGATGGGGACACACACACACACACAGACACACACACACACACACACGGATCACTCCTGGGCATGAAGCTGGGACAGGAAAGTGGGCCTCACCATTGATGTCCACTTGGAGTATATTATCTCTGCTGTCACAGGAGCAGTGGGCACTGAGGCGAAAGCCCTCTATTTCCCCTGTGGGAGTGGGGAGAGGAAAGCCAGTCTGAGTGTGCGGCTCACAGCCCTAGGAGAAGAGGAAGGAAGGAGCAAACCCTAGGGGCTCCTTCCGGCCTCTCCCCGGCTCTCCCCTTCTCTGCAGCTCTTTTGCTCCAGTCCTTTGCATCGCCGGTTCCTCGTCCTCCTTGGGGTCTTAGCTCATATGTTACCTCCTCAAAGAGGACTTCCAGCACACACAACCCTCCCCAACTATAATATCACTTGTTTTTCTCCATAGCACAAACCCTCTCTGACATGTGTTTGGCTATTTATTTCTCTCATTGTTCTCAGTAGAAAGCAGGATACATGGCAGGGGGTGGGGGCAGGGACAGGGAGCTTTGTTTTTCTTCTTCCCCACTGGGCATGAACCTCAGTCTTAAAAACAAATATCTACTGTGTACTGGGTGCAAGAACCTGTTCTGAACACCCTATGTACATTGTCTCCATTAATCTTCATCCAGATGCCCCATTTTACAGACAAGGAAGTTGAGGCACAGAGAGGCAGTGACCTGCCCAAGGTCACCACAGGTGGCAAAAAGTAAGCTGAGATGTCAATATAAGCCTGAGCGCTTTCCCACACAGCATTTAGGGCTTCCTCCATCCCACCCTGACCCCTCTGCCTGTGCCTCCCCATCCCACCCTGACCCCTCTGCCTGGGCCTCCCCATCCCACCCTGACCCCTCTGCCTGGGCCTCCCCATCCCACCCTGACCCCTCTGCCTGGGCCTCCCCATCCCACCCTGACCCCTCTGCCTGGGCCTCCCCATCCCACCCTGACCCCTCTGCCTGGGCCTCCCCATCCCACCCTGACCCCTCTGCCTGGGCCTCCCCATCCCACCCTGACCCCTCTGCCTGGGCCTCCCCATCCCACCCTGACCCCTCTGCCTGGGCCTCCCCATCCCACCCTGACCCCTCTGCCTGGGCCTCCCCATCCCACCCTGACCCCTCTGCCTGGGCCTCCCCATCCCACCCTGACCCCTCTGCCTGGGCCTCCCCATCCCACCCTGACCCCTCTGCCTGGGCCTCCCCATCCCACCCTGACCCCTCTGCCTGGGCCTCCCCATCCCACCCTGACCCCTCTGCCTGGGCCTCCCCATCCCACCCTGACCCCTCTGCCTGGGCCTCCCCATCCCACCCTGACCCCTCTGCCTGGGCCTCCCCATCCCACCCTGACCCCTCTGCCTGGGCCTCCCCATCCCACCCTGACCCCTCTGCCTGGGCCTCCCCATCCCACCCTGACCCCTCTGCCTGGGCCTCCCCATCCCACCCTGACCCCTCTGCCTGGGCCTCCCCATCCCACCCTGACCCCTCTGCCTGGGCCTCCCCATCCCACCCTGACCCCTCTGCCTGGGCCTCCCCATCCCACCCTGACCCCTCTGCCTGGGCCTCCCCATCCCACCCTGACCCCTCTGCCTGGGCCTCCCCATCCCACCCTGACCCCTCTGCCTGGGCCTCCCCATCCCACCCTGACCCCTCTGCCTGGGCCTCCCCATCCCACCCTGACCCCTCTGCCTGGGCCTCCCCATCCCACCCTGACCCCTCTGCCTGGGCCTCCCCATCCCACCCTGACCCCTCTGCCTGGGCCTCCCCATCCCACCCTGACCCCTCTGCCTGGGCCTCCCCATCCCAACCTGACCCCTCTGCCTGTGCCTCCCCATCCCATCCCTGACCCCTCTGCCTGGGCCTCCCCATCCCAACCTGACCCCTCTGCCTGTGCCTCCTGTATCCCAGCTCTGACTCCTCTGCATGTACCCCTACCCCCATCCCGGCCCTGACCCCTCTGCCTGTGCCTCCCCTATCCCAGCCTTAATCATTCCAGATTGTTACTGCCTGGTAGATCTTTACCAAGACCTCCCAAGTGTCCAGAAATGACTGTGGACACTGTGAAGACAGGACCCAGACCTGTCTTGGTTACCACTGTGCTCCCCACACCACCCAGCACAGGGCCAGGCATAGAGCAAGAACCTGTTGGCATTTATGGAATGAAGGCATGAATGAGAGGGAGATAAGGAAGGGAGACATGGGCCCTGTGGACTCAGCCTGGAACGGGACAGATATAATCCCTACCTGGACAGATCAAATTCAGAGCTTTTGCAAAGGCTGTTCCCTTTGCCCAGAATACTTTGCCTCTCCTTTTCCTGCTTGGTTCTACTCATCTCTCAGACATCAGCTCAGATGTCCCTTCCTCCATGAAGCCGTCCCTGATTCCAGCCTGTGTCAGGCACCTCCTTTGGGCTCCCCATCCCAGTCCTACCCACTTTGGGTCATCATTGCCTGGTTACAGATCTGCCCCTCCCCCATGGACCATGAGCTCTGTGAGGACAGGATGGAGCTGTTTTGGTCACTGCTGTGTCTCCAGCATCACCTAGCACAGGGCATGGCAGAGAGCTGGTGCTAGGGCATTGGGTTAACCATTAATGGATTCATCAGTTAATCACTCAGGTTTTAGTGTCAGGAAGGAGGGCCAGGTCTCGGCTCTTTGGTACCAACAGGGGGTGGGGGGTGCTAGGCAAGGTGACCCCAATGGGTCAACCCACTGAGAAACAGGGGAGGGGCAGACAAGCGATCTTCACCTCCATGGCTCAGCCACTGCCGCACAACTCCAGTGACGTCAAAGGACAACCACTCTGGCGAGTCGCTGGGGGTCAGTAGCCGGTTGCTGAGGTAGCGCCAGGAATTGTTGCTGTATTGCTAGACAATGAATGAGGGAAGAGACAGTGGGCAGATGCTGCCACGCCCCCCACATACACAGACTATACCCCTCACTCCATCTGCTCCCCCAAACAGGCTTCCAGACAGTTCTCAGACACTACCCTCCCAGACAGACACACTCTGGGGCCCTGTAGGATCCAAGTGCCTCTAAGAAGACACTTGGAGAAAGAGCCCCAAGCAGGGGCCAAGGCACCTTGGGGCAGCTCAACCTCTGCCCCTGACTCTCTGAGGGGTCGTGAGCATTTTCTTCTCCTCCCTAGGCCTCAGTTTCCTCACTGGTGAAATGCTAGGCCACTTTCCGCTCGGACAGCCCACAATGCTAAGAGACTCTGCATTAACATTCTGTGGTTTGCTGAGTATATGGTTCAGCAAATTTGACACCTCGAATTCTGAGAGTCTATAACTTTCTAAGGACTTATGTTAGGAGTCATTTTACAATTCCCATGTTCCACAGCATCCCAAGAACTACACATTTAATGAGCCTGAGAAGTTCTAGGAGACTAATGTTCTACAAATCCAAGAGTCTGACATGCCACACACCTAGATGTTGTCGACGTGTGACATGCATGTGGAATGACTCCAAGGGCTGGATATAATACTCCAGAGGCTATGGCACAAAGCTGAATTCTCTAGACTCCAAGAAGCCAATATTAGACAACATTTTCTTATTGTGAGAGTCAAACATCTAGCATCCAACATTCCATATGACATAGATTCTAGGTCACATAAGCTTCTAGAGACTCCAGCCCTTCCGAAGGCCCCAATCCTGGAGATTTCATATCTTCTAGAGCAGTGCTGTCCAAAAAGAACTTTCTGGAAATGTTCTTTATCTGTGACATCCAAAATAGCAGCTGCTGGGGCCGGCCTGTGGCTCACTTGGGAGAGTGTGGTTATGATAACACCAAGGCCACGGGTTCGGATCCCATAAAGTGCTGACAACACCAAGTCAAGGGTTAAGATCCCCTTACCGGTCATCTTTAAAAAAAAAAAAAAAAAAAAAAAAAAAAGCAGCTGCTAACCACATGACTACAGTGCACTTGAAATATTTAATTTTGATCTATTTATTTATTTTGACTGGTAAGGGGATCGCAACCCTCGGCATGGTGTGGTCTGCACCACACTCAGGCAATGAGCACACTGGCCATCCCTATATGGGATCTGAACATGCGGCCTCAGCGCTACCAGCTCCGCACTCTCCAAGTGAGCAACGGGGCCGGCCCTAATTTTGGTCAATTTAAATTTTAATCAACTTAAATGCAACTAGTGGCTACTATATTGGACACAGAGTTTCTAAAGCCTCCAACCTTTCCAGAGATTCCAACTTTCAATAGTCCTGTGTTTTTAAAGAGTCCAACTCCTAAGCTTCCAGCCTTTTAAGTATTTAACATCCCAGGATGCAAAGAGTCTGAACATTTAAAAGAACCTTAGGGCCCTAGGATATGGTTTATGCTCCTTCATCCCTCAGGGACTGTCTATGTGTGGACTGTGCAACCAGCAGCCTTGCAATCATCCCATCTGGCCACAGCTTAGCCCTCTGTGGCTGATGTCCCCACCCCTTTGGCTCATGTCCTCACCTGGTACAGTTCCACGTGCTGCTCCACTTTTAACTTGAGCCTCAACAGGCGCAGCTCGGCCCGGGAGAGCAACACGGGTTCAGGAACTGCTTCTCGGAGCTCTGATGTGTTGAACAACATATGTATGCTGTGTGGGCTGTGCTCAATTTTGTTATAGATTGCTAGGCGGGAGGAACAGAGAGACAGGATGTCAGGGGGTTGGCAGAAGTGGGGGGAGCTGGTAAACCCCAAATCTAAGGCTCTGGAGCTGACAGCTCTGGGTTGGAGTCTGACCCTGATACTTTTTAGCTGTGTAACCCTGGGGGAGTGGCTTTTCCCCACTGGGTTTCCTTCCTCCTCTGTAGTGGTCCTAACCACCCTTCTCTCCCAGGAAGAGAGAAGTGTCATCCACCAAGTGTCCACCCAGTATATGAGTGGTACCAAAGGGGAACTGCTCTGCTCGCTAAGGCCTCCCCAGGGCTTGGAGCCTCAAATGCAAATTAAATTGCAAAGTAAGGGTCAAAGGCACAAGTTTTGGGATCAGATAGTACCTCTGCTGCCTGTCAGCTGTGTAACCTTGGGCAGTTCACACACCCTCTTTGAAACTTACTTTCTTGTTATTCTTTGAAAAACAACAATAACATAAAGCTCCCTGCCTTCCAACCCAGGCTCTCCTAATGGATGCACTATGTAACCTTGGGCAAGTGAATTCCTCTCTCTGAGCCCGATCTTCATCGGTAAGAGGAGAACCAATTCCAGGATGATAGTGTGAGATGATGCAGGTGACGCATGTGGCACACAGTCGGCATACACTGGTCACTCAGTAAACTGTATGTTAAACAATGCTATTTGCCTAGTGCTATTCAAAGCATCTTTACAAAGATGAAAACATTTAAACCTCACAGTAACCCCATGAGGACAATACCATTATAATATCCACTTAATAGATGGAAAAACTGAGGCACAAATAGATTAAGTAATTTGCCCCAAGGTCACATGGCTAGGAAACTGTAGAATAGGATTCAAACTCTGGTATCTGGTTCCAGGTTCTGTACTCTTAACCCCTAAGCTTTGCTGCCTCCCTGCTGGTGTGACACTATTATTATTTTTATTATTATTAATTGCTTCCTCCCCTTAACTCCCACTCCCAGCTGGTTAGAGAAGGTGAAGTTCATTCTAGGTAGGAATAGCTATAGGGGGAAAAAGAAAATTAAGAAGAGCCGTTTTCTAGTCTAAGAAAAGTTCGGGGCTGGGGGTGAAGGGGCAGGCCATGAACGTCTGGATCAACTTTGGGCCTCCTACAGTGGGGGTTCTAAAATGGTGGAGAGCATATATGATAAGAAAGGACGGAGGACGACCCTTCCTGGGGCCCACTGGCCTTTCTCCCTCCCAACCAGCCCTCCCACCCCCCACCCCCCCATAAGCCCTATTCTTAGCCCAGTAGTTATTTCTCAAACCCCAAGGGAAGGGCAGAGCCTTGGCTGGGGGTGACAGACAGGGAGGAAGAGTAAAAGGAGGGAGTAAAAGAAGGGACAGGAAGGGTTGGAGGATGCTGCACAGAGAGAGAGAAAGAGATGGAGAAACATGGGGAGGCGGGGTGCGGAGGAGAAAACGAGCGAGCGAGAGAGAGAGAGAGAGAGAGAGAGAGAGAGAGAGAGAGACACGGCAGAGGGCAGAGATGGGAGGCACGTGCAAGGAGAGAGACATGCATTTGGAGGGCAAATGAGAGGAAAGGATTGGAGCTGTTAGTGTTAAAGTAACGTCTACAACGAAGGTGAAGCGACGGAAAAGAAAGAGGCCGAGATGTGGGAGGACAGGGGGCGTCATTTGCCCGGAGCCGCAGACTGGCGCAGGAATGGGCCACGGACCCGCTAGTCCACCATCCAGCAGAGAAAGTGAAATCCAGGGGACCGCCCCCAAAGCTCCGGCCACGCGGGACGCCTGGGTCCCCGCGTGGGCACCGACGGGGCGGACTCAGCCGTAGCCCCGCCCTTAACCGGGGTAAGGAGGGCGGGAGGCGAAGCAGCCGCGAGGGCGGGGACCGGACCTGCCCCGTCTCGCTCCAGGCTCCGCGCGATCCCCGCCCCCCGGGCACGGGAAGGAAAGGGAGGGGAGGAGGGCGAGGCGGCCGGACGCTGGGGTTTCCCCAGCCTCCCCGAGAGGAACTGGGACTTTGGGGTCCAGGCTGTCGGCGTTTAGTTCGGCGGGGTCCTCCTTTCCCCTTCTGGAAGCGCAGGCTCCTCCCCTCGCGCGTGGCGCCCACGTGGGGCTTTCTCACCCTTATCAGCTCGGTTTTCTCACCCGGGTGCTGTAGAGTCGCCCCACCTATCGCTGCCCGTAGGCCTCGACTCCTCACTTAGCCCCCTCCCTTCCATCTCGCGGTGAGTGGGGGGCTCCCCGCTCACAGCATGAGTGCGCTGGGTATCTCTTCTTCGTCCCCATCCCAGGTCCACCTTTCCCACGCTGGTCTCCCTTCTCCGTAAATTATTTCCCAGGAGCCAGTATTCTAGGTTTCTTGGGGGCTCACTTGGCCCTCTGGGCTCCCCGCTCTGTATCTCTCACGTCCCTATGGAAAACACCCACCGACACGTCCCCGCGCATCCCTGGCATCCCCCTGGCGTCTCTACTTCTCTCCCGCTAGCCTCCTACCAATGACCTCGCGTCCCTTCCTGCCCGTATTTATCACACCCCCGCCGTCTCTCTCTGCGACCCCTCCACCCCAATCCCACGTGTTCCTCACTCTCTGCAAGTGGGTCCACTTTCCGCTTTCCTGGCATCCCTGGGGATCACTTCGCCTAGCTTTTCCGTCCTTCTTGTATGTTTCCGCCTCACGACCGCTGAACTCTGGGTTGGCTTTCCCCACTCCTCTGCTTTCCCAAATGCCGGGGTGTTCGCAAGACCGGGCTCCCTTCTCTGCAGCACTCTCCCCTACTCCCGCGTCAAATGCGCTCTGGAGGGGGGAGACTTTTCCACTCGCACCCCACTCCAAGTGCTCCTCTCCCTCTAGGGGGCTCCCCCACAATCCCACACGTTCCTCGCCCTCTTGAAGCGGTCCACTTGGCTCACTATCTCCTCCTCCCCGAGATCAGACACCTGGGGGGTAGGGAGCTCAGCGCCGTCCTTTTTAAGACCTCCTCCCCACGTTACCGGCGTCCCCGGGGCTCCTCTTCCTCCAGCCAGTTTCCTCTGCCAGTAATTTCGTCCCCATGACCCCTGCACTACGGCGCCCCCTGGGCTTCCCCCTCCCGACCTCCCGACTCCCCTGACCCTCCGAGCTCACGGTTTTTGGTTTCCACCATTAGCACGCGGGTGACCTCCTTGGCGTAGTAGTCTGGCTCAGGCTCAGGCTCTGGCTCAGCGCTCTCCCCGGCCACCCGGTCGCGGGTGCTGTTGTACAGGGCGAGCACCGCCTCGGGCAGCGGGCCGGGCGGCACCTCCCCCTGGCTCGGGGGGCTGGCGAGCCGTAGCTTGGACAGGATCTGGCCGCGGATGGCTTCGATGCGCTTCCGCTTCACCAGCTCCATGTCGATGGTCTTGCAGGTGGACAGTCCCGCGACTGGCTGTCCAGGCGTCAGCACTAGTAGCCACAGCAGCGGTAGCAGCAGCGGTAGCAGCAGCGGCAGGAGCCGCAGCCCGGAGGGCGGCATGGGGGAGGCGGCGCCCCCCGGCACTGCCGAGAGCACGAACAGGGCTGGGATGGGATGGGGAGGCCCCGCCCCTGCAGGGGCTGGGGGTCTCCCGGGGAAAGGTAAGAGGGTCTGGGGGAAAGTTGAGGCCTTCAGGGAGAAAGGAGCAAAGGCGGAGGAAAGGCTCTGACCCGAGGTGTTTCAGGAGCCCAACAACAAAAAACCGAGATGGGCGAGATCTAGTACCAGGAGGTGGGTGGTCTTGAATAGGGGAGCTGTGGCAGGTCTGAGAGAGATCCGTTTCCCGGAGGAGAAAGGGTCCTAGGATGCGCGGGGACTCAGGAGACAGGCTGAGGGGAAAGAGCGGCGTGCAGGGGCGTGCGCCCTCTCTTCGCGGGAGGCCGGGTTTGGGGCTCCTGAGGACTGGTCCGGAATGGGGGCGCCTGAGGGACGCCGTGTAGGGGGCAGGGAAGGAACAAGCGTCCGAGGCGGTGATGGGGGCTGGTCCGGGGTCCCCAAGTCCTGCCTCCTCGCGGGGCGGCGACGCGCCAAGCGGTCCCCGCGCCTGCGGCTCCCAGCGGCAGCGGAAAAGTCTCAAAACTTTTTTCCTCTTCTCCCAACCAGCTCGTCCCTCCTCCCGCTCCTCCTCCCCCTCCTCCCGCAGTGGCGGCGGCGGCGGGGGCGGCGGCGGCTTGTCTC